AGACTTGGCACAACACACCAATACTGTGGTCATATCTGTAGAGTGAGTGTCAAAATACTTCATTTTGTATTGTATCAAATCAAACACATTCGTGCAATGTAGGAGTCTCTAACATAGAGCCAACCATGAAAATATTTGTTTTACAATACCTCTGTTTAACTCCTACCTTCGTGGAAACTAAACCCCCGGAGTTGGTGGGCTCAAAAACCTGAAAACTGCTCTAATGATTTTCGTAGAAATTTGATAGTTTATATATATAGTTGGTAAAAGAATGACTAGCTCGTTGGACTCTCTGGGAAAACTGTGGTTTTATTGTTATAGTTTTTCAAAGCATAAAATTTGTCGAGAGAACGAGAAAATGTTTATCCTGAACGAAGTATACGTCTTCGGATATTTCCGCATGTTATTAAACAGTTGAAAAATATAATGTTCAGGAACATTTTGCACATCGTCTGTCTAGATGTAAAGGCTTAACATTGGAATATCTTGTAGATTCTGGTTCAGAATTTGTTGTTTTTTTTTGGGGGGGGGAGGGGGGGGGGGCTAGTGGGGAGGAGAAGATATCTGGTTGGGTTAAAATGTCCATTTTATTTTTCTAATTCTAACTAGTTATTTAGAGCACATCGCTCCTTCAATTGTTTATATGAGGTTTTGTCTTTTAAAACTTTTTATAAATTGTTTTCTTGTTTTTTGTTCATGTAATGAAAGATTGTTTACTTTTCTCCAATTCTCATACTCGGTACTTGGGGATAAGGAGATTCAAACTACCTACCATTGTGTCGACAAACTGAGGTTCATGCCAGTAACACCCAACCGTTTAGAGTCATATCCATAGAAGTTACATTAAAAAAAAAATCTCTGTTTCATCTAATTATTTGTATTACCACCATCTACACAAAATATGATTTGACTTCATACATTTGATGGTTCACCTAAAATTCTCTGCTATTGTTTAGATACCGACAGTCTCCAGAGTTTTCTTTCCCCGTACCGTTTGACGATTGTCTGAGAGTAACTCAACACATCTTGCAGAATGGGCTGAAATACAAGATAGACAGTCACAGAGTTGCTCTCCTTGGTAAGCCAAACACAGTTTGGTAGAGACATTTGGTTGTCTCCCTTTGTCTGTAAAAAATATAGCCATATCGTATAACGTTGTCTATTCCAAAGGCTCATTCTGTACTGTCTTCTAGCTTTTCTTTACTAGATCTACTAGTAACTAGATCCTAGAGCAAATGGTAACGATATGGATTTGGCTTTCACAAATTCTTTTTACATTAATTTTGGATAAATTATCTTAATTTTATATCTTTTTGTAGTTTGCCAATCAAGTATATAAAAGTACTCAATATGTATGTATGTGTTTACAGTGCCAGACATGGTAGAAGATCTTGTAATTAGTTATACTCAGTGCCTTTTTTTGTGACGGTACCGGTACGGCGTAACGGCATCTTTGTCAATGTGTGGGAAAAGTATTACTTTTCGTGTATATTAACATTTATTATTAATTTATTAGTAGTTAAAAATTAGGCAATCCATCACTGAGTACCGACATCTATTTTTTTTTTACAAAATAGCACTGGTTATACTTATAAAAATAATTTTAAAACAAGCAGTGGTACAAGGTGCAGTCGGGAAATGCAAAAATGATGTCTAAAATCATACTAAAATAAATCCTATGTTGGTGTTCAGGGGACAGTACTGGAGCAAACCTTGCAGCAACAGTGGCTTTGCGCATCTCAGAAGAAGACCCAGGCTTTACTCCACACGTCAGACTGCAGGTAAAATTCTTGACTATCACACTATGTAGAGAAATACCTCTTTAGATTTTTGTGACTATTTGCGGATAAATGACATCACATATTTCATTACTTTTAAACACACTAAAACATAGTTCATTACTTTTAAATACACTTATACATAATTCATTACTCTTTAAACGCACTACACTGTACCATATAGTTGTTAGACACACTAAAATGCCACTAAAACAGTTCATTACTTTACCCACTCTCAGTTCGACAAAAACACATATATTTTAAGAAACTTGCTTGCACCAACACTTTTGTCTTTCTGTGCAAATTAACAAAGCTGCACTCTACTCATACCTTGGTGTTACGATTGTTTCATTTTCTTTACCAGGTATTACTGCAACCAGTTCTACAGGCTTTTAATTTTGATACTCCATCCTACAGACTTTACAGCGACAATACATTTCCTGGACGGTGAGTCTGTGTGTTAGTGCATGGTTTCGTTATGACTTGACACATTCACAGTGCGATGTTGTTCTCTATTAGAAGTCCTATTATATTCTCTTAAAAACTATAAGTCACAATGTTGAAGAATGAATATCAGACTTACAACTAAGTTGTTTATAAAGTTCAAATGATTATCTACTTCTACAAGATGAGGGTGAGCCTTGACATGTACTCATCTCTGCCTATGGTACCTTCTGGGGCATAGGCCACCAACCAGCTTCCTCCAGGTATCTCGGTTCTGGGCGAGCCTCTCCAACTGTCCCCACGTCTTGCCCATCTGCTTGGCATCTGCTTCCAAATCGCGGCGCCATGTATTCCTGGGCCGTCCCCTCTTTCTCTTTTCTTGTGGATTTCAGGTTAGGGCTTGCCTTGTTATGTTGGATGCAGGCTTGAGAAGGATGTGATCTATCCATCTCTAGCGTCTGTGAGGGTAACTCTAGTTGTTGTTTTTTTAATATGTCTGTCAGAACAAACGAAATTATTAGTTCTGTCTTCAAAAGACTCATACTTTATATATGTTCTTAGCAATGCCTTTTTATGTTGTTATGCAATAAGAAATTGGTGTTTATGTGGTCGTGTCTACGTACCACTACCAGCATATGATGGGGAAATAACAGAAACTAATAAAAAAAATTTTTTAAGCTTTTGCACCTATTCGATGATAAAAGCTTATTTATTTAAAGTAACAGCAAATTGTTCCTATTCCTAAACATCATCAATGCAATCAATAGGTGTATTGTTTACGCATGTTTATTCTTATGAAAATCCTAACATATTTTACATGATATCTGTCACCTATATATCGATTATATATATGTAAATAAACGCCAATGCAAAGTGTAGAAAATCCTCCCCCCCTTACAAAAGGTTTAAAATGTAACTTTACCTACGTTAGGGCCCTCATTTTTTCTATTGGATTGGTATACCACGACCTTTGACACTTTAATGTAAAATGTTTCAGTACCATTGAACGGATCTTTACTTTTTGTGTGGGACATGATAATAAGACAACAGATTTGTTTTATAAAGAACGTGTGCTATTCAAAAAACAGCAACATATGAACAGCATTATGAAACAACTATGGCGGTATTGATGGGAATAACAAAAAGAGACCAGAAGATAAGTCGGTGATGAGGCTTGCTAAAATGTTGCTCACATTATGACGTAGAGAAATGAACTCATTTTGAGACGCTTGAAAAAAAAAGATAGCCTTCAAATACCTCATTAGTTAATGTAAGTACCAGATCCAGGGGTTTCTCTTAATATTAGTTTCAAGTCAATTTCATTTTATTACCTTATCGGTCATGTGGCCCGCGACACGAGAGGTCGAATGAGGTTGGGTATCACTAAACTAACATATTAGAGTCTTACTATCCTTGTTTGTTTGTTGTTGTTTTTTTGTTTGTTTTTTTGTGGGTGTTTTTTTTTTTTTGCACTCTTACGAATTTTGTCAACAAATCTCTCTAGGTTTTTTTCTCGTAACACAGCTTAGCAGAGACATTGTTGGCTGTTGTAGCCAATCTTGGATTTAAATGTTATATTCTATAATGTTTTCTTTTTTTTCGTCTGTCAGCTCACAAATCCTCAAATTTTGGTGCTATTATCTGGGCATACAACCAACACAAGACGTGGTGTCATCATTCCAGAAAAATGATCACGTGTCACCCAGTTTGAGAACCTCCATCTATTCTCATTACTTATCGGAATCTCAGTTGCCAGAATCTGTCAGAGAGAAGAGCCCAGCAAGCTCTTTGGACAGATACTCCAATCAATACGACCAGAATCTGGCACTCAAAGTTGAATCCAAAGTCATTGATCCATTTGTGTCGCCATTACTTGCTGACGTTTTGAATGCATCGCCCCCCGCGTATATACTGGTGGCCGAGGCGGATGTCGTGAGAGACGATGGCCTTTTGTACGCGTCAAGGCTGCGGGCAGCGAATGTGTCAGTGGAGTTGAAACATGTACACAATCAATCCCATTTCTTCTTGGCGCCTAAACTACCTTCTGGAATTTTGACCTTCTCTTCAGCGGAAGAAACTTGGAGGGAAATTTATCAATTTATTTCGAAAAATTTATAATAAGATTCATTGTTAAACTTAGTCTCTTCACATTCACATTATATGTTTTATAAATAAAATGTAAGAACTGACAAACTGAATGTGCCTGACTCTGTTTTAATTTAACGGACAAGTTTGTTTTCAAACAAATAGTAACAGAACTGTTATGTCTCTATAAACCACTGTTACATATTCCATTATTATGATGTTACACTATCGACGTGAACTATCCTGTTCTTATATGTCCTCCTCTCTTCCTCAAGGCCTTGGTCCAATTTTAATGATAAAGTCAAAAGTAGTTCTCCTTTCAGGCCTTGCCATCTATAGGACAGATGATGTAAAGGTCATCTGATTCTGTGGCCAGCGCAACTACCAACCACCTCTTACCTCTACTCAACTAGTGTTTGGTACCAATTAAAGCTGGCTGGACTCAGCGTCCAAGGATCCCAGAGTTAAAAATCCCAGACTTCACCAGCATTCGAACCCGCGACCCCCGGTTCGGAAGCCACCCCACCTCTAAAATATTCTATTAATAGAAATAGGTAATTAGCTTATTTCAACTAGTGATTAATTTTTGGAAATCGCAGTGGAAGTCAAATGATCAAATTTAATGTCTAAATTATGACGTGAATAAAACACAACTACAAGATGTATTATTATAAAAAAAAAACAAGAACCAATCTGAAAGTTTCTGCCATTAATTTATTCAGTTATTGCTTTCTCTTGAGACAGAAACTAGGACAACTGGACAACAGTCATGTGATCAATGTTTATAAGTAACATTAGCCAACGCCTTGTTTCTGTGGGAGATTCCCTATGGCTCAAGTTGTGCTTCAAACTTATAGTAAAGAACTGAAACCTATATCTATCTAATCTACTTACCAGTTTGTAAGTAATAAGCTCTTAGACTTGGTCTAAAGTACGAGGCTCTTAAAGAATATCTTCGAGGGGATTTTTATGTCCATGCAAATGATGAGCATGGAGTTACTTTTCTTGGATGGGATACACCTTTTTTTTTTCGGGGGGGGGGGGGGGGATAAATGCCTCTTCCACCTCCCCGATATTACTTAGAAACAATATCGGCGGTAGGTGCTCAACTAAGCCAAACGGTTTGAGGCCTGAATATGATGTTATAATATGAGCTTTTAGTGTCGTGATTGTTCAAACAAAAATAAAACCGTCAACAGAGTTGTCGTAAAAGAAAGTATCTTGTAACAGACTCTGACGTCACCAAGAGATCAATACAAGAGGTAATCATAATTTTTTTTATTGATCTAACCTGCTCAATTCATTTGGTTTGAAGAAAAATAGTCATCAAGACTCTAAGATGAGGAAATAAGAGGAGGATTGAAATGTAATGAGGACCATAACTTTGTTTTCCTTACAGTTCCGTGACTTCACTTCCTGAAGGTAGATGCTGTGTGGCCAGAAAACATCAAACGATCATAACTTCAATTGTATTTATAATTACAAAATTAATTGTATCTGATCCTATTACTTCTTCAAAAATCTTTTCTAGGAATTAAATTAAAAAAAAAAAAATTTGAAGTAAATTAATTAAATTTTTAATTCATTTTATATTACGATTTTAAAATATGGAAAGGTTTTAAAAAATGAAAAGTGTTTAAAAAATGGATTAAAATAATCATGTAATGATTTCTTGAGATGTTGTTTCCCTTCTTTCTTAAAGCGTGTACAGTTTCTTGAACTCTGTAAAGGAAAAAAAAAGTTTTTATATAGAAATTATAAAATGTAAATTAATTTTTACCTAAAAGAAGATAACAAGTTAAATTGTAAAAAAAATAAGATCTTTTTTAAAAACCTCGCATTTATATGGTGAGATTGCATCAATTATTTTCAATCAATAATGTAATTAATTTTCAATTAATTGATTAATTAACTGGTTAATGTTTTGTTTGATTCATGTGTTGTTAAGGAAAGTGCAAAGTTTCAATTTGATCCTAGAATGGGAAGGCGAGAATAAACGTTTTGACCAGACAGACAGACAGAATAAGTTGATATAAGTGAGATGAAAAGTTCTTGACATCAGTTAATTGTAATTCATTATGTGCTGTTTGTAATATCAAGCTACACCAGCGCTTCTCAACCTATGGATCACCTTCCCCATCCCACAGGGGCGACGTTCTGACAAACCAATTTTTTGTAAATTTTTTTCTTTTTTTGTGAACGGGAAAAATATTTTTGTATTTACTTTGAAGCTATAAATAGAGTCTGCATGTTATTATTACATGAGTACCAATGTTTCAAAATTAAAAGGATTAATTAAGAGACATCGTTTCATATTTTAAGTAAGACCAATTTTTTTTTTATTGTAAACCTTTTTCGTAAGAAGCCTCTGCATCAAGATCGACGCAACGCGAAAATACCCTGTCAATGTTTTACCATGCTCACATCAGCAGTATTTTCAGCTTTATTATCACTTCCTGATATGGCAATTGGTCATTTAAAATAAAAGTTAATTGCAGAAAATCTAAAATGCTGCCAGTAAAGTCATTGGTAGCTAACAAACTCCATTTATACAACTGTGTAAGAGAAACATTAATAAGAAGGCTGGAAAGATTGTTTAAAAATTATTTTTTTTTAAATCTGGGCCAGGATTTGAAGATTTTACATTACAAAGGAGATGCAAGATACCGTGTACATAAAACAAACATAAAAACTCCTGTATTCCTCTGGCAATTAAATCACTGAATAGAATTGATCTGAGCACTTGTTACGTTTGAGTGAAACTAGTGTAGATGTACATTTTGTTTCTATAGTTCTAATGTATTTTTATGCACAAATTGTAAGACAAATTTCCTCATGGATAATGCACATTTTTTTGTGTGAAGAAATAGACATATTAATATTTTAACGCCAACATGATTCTATCCGTCTTTCTCAAGCCAGAACAGTCAAATCTCTCCCTAGTGTCGTTCCAATATCCAGTTGACAACTTTTGCATGGCTAAAAAGGCCAGTAAAGACGCAACATGAAGATAATGTTTCCACGATCAGTCCCATGTCAAATGTGTCATGCTCTATATGTCTTCGAAAGTCTCTTGTCTTTAGAGGCAACATGAAGATGATCTTTCCACGATCAGTCCCATGTCAAATGTTTCATGCTCTATATGTCTTCGAAAGTCTCTTGTCTTTTAGTTCTTGACCTACTTTAATTTGCGCATTGGATAACAGTGCGCTGTTGACAACTGGTGAATGCATTTCGAAGCTCAGAATGCACGTAAACCAGTGGCGTCACCAGGGGGATCCTCGCAGCAACTAAAAGAACTAAACAATAAGTTTTTATTGGGAAGATTTTAGAAAAGCTGAAAAGGAGGTGGGTGACACCCTGAACTTACCGCACCGGGTGACACCCACCCTAGTGACGCCACTGACGTAAACACTTGGGGCTTAACTCTTGACCCTGCTTACAGAGAAATTTGGTTCGTCTTTGTGGTCGCCACACATGATAGGCTAAGTAACGTCCAACTTGTCATGTCCATCATAGACCTTCTATCACAAATGAATAAAGAAACACTAGGAGTCGATCCACTTGTCATGTCTATCATAGACCTTCTATCACAGATGAATACATATAGACCTACAGCTTGACCTAGATCTGTTGATTTATTAAGATTAAAAACTGAATTATCTACTTGATGTACACAGTCCTGTTGGAGATTTGCATAAACTGGAGCCAGTTTTTACAACACCTCTAGAGTCACTCCTTCGTGGAAGGTGGGCGCTGATCTCGAATACCAAAGTACAGTGTTGGTTACTAGTCATTTGTTGTATTCGTCCTTGTCGAACAAATCATTTCATATGTGCTTTTTCTGTAACAAAGTTTTAAGCTAAGCTACAATGAAACTATCTAACCTGGAACATCATTTGAGACAATGACAACATGATAAAATAGATTGAGATTTGAAATAGCCTACTTTCAACACTTTTAGTTCAAAACAGTAGAACAAAATGTTTGATTAAAGATCCTAAAAGAAAAGAGGTTTGTGAGTGTCTTACAATATTTTTTCTTAGGCCTATATCAAACTCCAGAAAACTGCACTATTAAAAGCCACACACATCTGATATCATAGTAAAAATTTCTCTAAACAACAATACAGTTCAAAGGTGTAATGGTAAGAGGAGTTAAGAAACTGAAAGGTTCTTATGTAATTACTTTCCAAAGACATACTTTAAAAAAAAAAAAGCTGGACTAGTTAACCTTGCCTGATTATATAGTGTTATTATATCATGCTTTCTTTTTGCTATGAATTAAGAAATCCATAAAGAACTGCTCATTGGCTGAAACTTTGATCAATTGATCCTTCACAATGAAGAATGATAGTTGTCGAAAGGCTTATGTTTGACAATATTTATTTCTGAGCTCTTGAGTGCTAAAAATCCAATTTTAACAGACTTATTTCATAAATTTAATGAGGGTAACTTACGCTACAAGGTGATTACCTAAATTTGATCAAAACGAAGGTATAATCTCAAAGTTTCTTGTGAGGATTAAGTAATGAAGCATACAATAGATTGGATGAAATTTCCTAATTTTCAAATTTAAAACCAACATCATCTAATCGAGAAGTTATGATAGATTAAATCTAACTAAATTGAACCCTAATGTTGAAATTTTACACAAACTTGCTATCCAATAGGCCAGTGTTTCCCAAACTTTCAACATATACCAAATATGCGTACCCCTTCAATAATTTTCGTAAACCTAAGTACCCTTTCCCCCCCCCCCTTAAAAAATGAATAATTGTTGAAAATAATAAACGAACTTTAAGGACATACTGCACTAGGACGTTTCAGTTTAATCCCTAGAGTGCATATTAAATCTTATTTTGTTTCATTTGAATTTGAATTTCATCAATGAATGGCCTAGAAATCAGTGAGAAAAACACAAATAAAGTTGAAGAATTTTCCAAAAAATGCAGGAGGTCTACCGAAGAATGGAAAACATGGCAAGGGGTCTACGAGACAAAAAGTTTGGGAACCAATGGTCTAGCTTGACTACAGCCAACATGGCGCAGTCAGCCGTATTACCGTAATAATGCGATAACAATAAATTTAAAGTTGAAATTTTATGAATTTTGTAAGCGTTGCTTATATTTTTGACGTAAATCTAATAAAGAATAAGTGAAAACAAAATTGATAGGTCTATATATATATATACAGCGACACTACTTTTCCTCTCTCTCTCTCTCTCTTTCTCCCTCCCTCTCTCTCTCTCTCTTTCTCCCTTCCTCTCTCTCTCTCTCTCTTTCTCCCTCCCTCTCCCTCCCTCTCTCTCTCTAACAATCTTTTCTTTTTGGTCTTTGTCGTTTTTATCTTTTTTTGGTACCTCTTTGTGTGCCGCCATTGTTTAAAATACAGTGTGTGGGTTTATTTCGGGATAATTTTTTTGAATATATAATTTTTTTTTACATTATCGTCATTAATTGAGGGACGCAAGTGATTATCGCCCAGAGTCAAACCAAGAGATTGGTAATGGTGCTGACAAGAGCATAAGGGCAAGCGAGACAACTCTAAATGAAATCCTAGTCGCAGACGTGTGAGAATGAAGGGGGAGAACTGTTTGCAACAGAATGGAAATTCGAGAAGTGTTTATGGAAAATAGTTGGACCAGGGGCTGCAAGCTAAATGGAAGGGTTAACAAGTCGTCACGTTCTTTTACTGGAGTAATACCCGGTACCCAAAGTTTAGATTACAGGGTCTGGTGATCATTTCAAATATTACATAGTAAGGTCAAACCCATAAAATTTGTGCATACTGATTTTAGGAGTTTCTATTTTGTTTCTTTATTTGCAAAAGTTCGTACACATGTGGCTGTAGGTCCTGACTGGACCATGGTAGATCTAAATGTGGTTCAAGTTAAAATTAAATTAAAGTTATAATTTATCAATAGGAGATCTGGTTTTGATATACGCGGGTCATCAATAGAAACTAGATAAAAGGTCACATCCTTTGGTTTAAATGAATTGAAGTAGAGACACTTAATCTAAGCTGTGAATTTATTAATA